ATAATTTCACATTTGGTTGTAGATCTAGTACTTGTATTAGTAGAATGTTAATATGAACTTTTGTTGGGAATTAGTGTTTGCAATCTGTACAGAATTTCTATTTTCTTATCAAAAATTTGTATGCTCAACTTGGTTTATACATCTTATACATCTTGTTGGAAAATTTCTTACCTTCATCACTTGCTTTAATATTTATAATTATTTTATAACTTGCAGTGATATGGAGAAGATTGAAGTCGATGCTACGATTACAACGATATGCAAAATGCAAATCATTCAAGATGTTTACGAAAAATTGGATACAAATTACAAGAATAAGCTCCGCGAGAGTTGTTTTGGATTGCTTCTTCTATTGAGAGACATAAGGTTGGCTTCACAAGTTATACATCAATTATTATTACGAAAGATGAAGACTGGAAAAAAAGAAGAAGTTTGGTTTGAGATAGGCGACAAAAGAGTAAGATTCGGATTGTAAGAATTTGTTTTAGTGACAGGCTTAAATGCCGGTGATGATAACAACGTGGACCGGACTTTGGGGGCGGAGTGTCAGATCGTCAAAGAATATTTTAAGAAAAGCGGGGGGAAGATTACAAGGGGAGATGTTTACAATGCTTTTGTAAGTTGCAAGAAAAAAAGAGCGACAAATATAAATTGGGATTGATCGTAATCTTGGGGTACGTCCTATGGGTTATAGAGGAAAACACCTACATCGATTTATGGTGGCTAGACTTGGTGGATCAGCTGGACAGGTTTAAGAAGTACCCTTGGGGAAAATTTTCATTTGAATACACGATGAGCGTCATCAAATGTGAAATGGGAGGTAAATCAAAAAGTTCGGATGTCGGAGGAGAGTCACGTTGTCGGTATTCGTTGCACGGCTTTCCACTCGCTATAATGGTATGAAAAAAACAACGCATTTGACTTGTATTATTTTTTATGTACAAACTTTGTGCTATGAGATAATAATGTTTGTTTTACAATAGATTTGGACATTCGAAGCGATTACAAAATTGGGAATGAAGTTTGCTACGGAATATCTGAATGCAATTTCAAGAATGGTCGCTTGGGAAATGCCAAAGAGGTTAGCATCTACCGCCATTGATAATGTGTTGGAATCGAAAGAGGTAAATTTCCTTTTTTTTTTTAAGTATAGTGAGGATAAATTGTGGAATTAGCTTAGCAAATGAATAATGATTTGCACGATTTAATATTTGCAATTAGAGGTTATTTCTACATTGATTCCTACTAAAACCGAATTGAAGGAGGTGTTCTGGAAAACATTTACCCCAATTGTGGAAGAAGATGATAATGCTTCACAGCATGTCGAAGGATATGAGGTTGAGCATGATGTCGACCCACATCATGCATTCTACCAACACTCGTCTAGTGTATCTCAACCTCCACATGTTTCTCATGAGCTCAACATAGTGGATTTTTTGAGAATCGAAATGGAAAAACTTGAGGGAAGGCTATAAGCAGTCATATCAACTCAAGTTGATCGGGTGGAGAAAAAAGGTTGACATGTTGATTGAATTGGCCGTGACAGGTCGATTTCATTCAAGGACTAGTACATTTGATGGTGCCACTAGTAGCACAACTGATGTTCCATCTCAACTTCTGAAACAACCAACTCCATGATTCATCATTCTCCGAATCAACGACTCCCCATGCGAGTGGAAATATTTTGATTTCCACTAGTAGAGTACCTTTCATTTTTGATTTCAAGAATGTACCATCTATAGAAATTACCCTTCGCATTGAGTTGAGGAATCCATGTATACTTGGTCCCATGCCATAA